TCAGGAGTTGTTACCGCTGGCGCGGCTCCGCGCGGCTCCAGTCCCGCATTGCCTCGGGAAGGGAAAGGCAAAAAGGAAGAGCCGCGGCTTTTGCCTTTCCCTTCCCGAGGCAACGCGGGACTGGAGCCGCGCGGAGCCGCGCCAGCGGTAACAACTCCTGACAGCCCCAGCCGGATACCTCAGCGGAGCTCGGGCGGTGCGAGCCTCGTTTCCTTGGGAGCTGGGAGAAGGCTGGCTGCTCCTTTCGGCTTCACGGGATTCGTTTCCACGGTGCGCAAAAGTGCCTCAGCCGCGGGCAGCTGCAGTGCTTCCCAATTACTATTTGCCGGCATATAAGACGACCCGGCATATAAGACGACCCCCCCCAATTGGAGGCATCTTTTTCAGGGCAAAAAAGTCGTCTTATACGCCGGCAAATACGGTATCTGCTTTTCTCAGTAATCCTTTGGGAATGTTATTCAGCTGGGCCAGTGGGAAAATGAAACAGCTATCCGAAACTCCACAAGTGCACAATGTTTTCTACAGTATGTGCATATATTAGGTACACTGAAGAAGAAATTACTACATAAAAGGATTATCTGAGGTTGTGCTGTCCTTACCCCTTTGTGCTTATGGCATTTCTCTTGTTTCTATATTACATATACAGTAAGTCAACCCTCCTGGCCTTCAGTAAGAGCCTAAAGTCCTGACTCTGCCAGATATCTTGAGGGTCCAAAGACAAGATTTATAAACATAGCTTTATCTCCAAGCTCTTTAATCAAGCTATTTTTTTAAAGTTACGAAAGAAAGACAACTAAATGAGTAAGTATGATGATCTTTTAAATAAGTGTTCTATATACTTTCCTTTTACCTGCAGCAAACAAATAAGCAGTGGCAGAATTAATAATCCCCTTGTTTACTAATAGGAATCAACCCATCCCTGGGGGCAATCAGCCAGGAAGTTTGTAGCTACCGATCAGATTAAACTTGTCAAATACAGTCAAAATGAAATATCAGAAGACCATGTGTTTACACAGTTCCAGTACATCACTGTTCTGTAATTAAAAGTATACCACATCACAACTGTTTCATCATCTACCAATGAAACCTAGCTGTTAAATCAGCTGCAAAAATGAATTGTGCCAAACATTCAGGAATTTTGAAGCTGAAG